GTAGAGACGGGGTTTCATCATGTTGACCAGGATGGTCTCGATCTCTTGACCTCGTGATCCACCTGCCTCGGCCTCCCAAAGTGCTGGGATTATAGGCGTGAGCCAGTGCGCCCGACCTAGGAGCAATATTTTTCAAACCACCTTTGCAAAGATTATAACTGAGACAATTATGACAGTGAAAGAGATTTGACGTAACTGACTCCGTCTTGCTTCTAACCTCCAAGCTGTCCTTGTTCATTCCTGGCCATAGGCCAAACTAACTCTGGAGGAACTTAGTTTATGGTTTAGCTTTGAAACAGAGATGGTAACAGTCCTTTCCCAAAACAAATCCCCTTCCTGCCTAGGGACTAACAAATTAGCCACGAGATTACAATTATGGTTTAGGAGTCATGCAGCTGGAGGCTGCATGACTCTACACTTCCCCACAGGCTCCTGGGAATAACCTCTCTGTTGTGAAACCTATGATCAGTGCTTGAGTTATTCTGCAGACCCTGCATTCTGATGCACCAGCTGACACCTCCCAGACTGGTATTTGGCTCAACCAGTTCTGCGATCCACCCAGGAACAGAAGACAGCAAGAAAAACCCACTTCGACTCCCTCTGATTCCATCTCCAACCTGACCAATCAACACTGCCTGCATCCAAAGTTCCTACCCACTGAATTATCCTTAAAAACTCGGATCCTCAAGTTTTCAGGGAGACTAATTTGAGTAATAACAAAACTCCAGCCTTCTGCACAGCCATCTCTGTGTGAATTACTCTTTCTTTACTGCAATTATCCCGTCTTGATAATTTGGGAGCGGGAAAGGTGAACCCATTGGGCTGTTACATTTTGGGGGGTGCAGCTTCCTTTTTCCCACCGTGTGACTGCACCCTGGAGTCAGTGACACTTGGTACTGAACAGAAGTGTCACTCTTTTGGGGCAGGATGTTTCCTGCAGGGAGGAGGTGTCCACAATAGGACAAGGCGCTGAGGAGTGATGGGCCATTTCCTGACTCCGCTAAGCAGAGGGAAGCTTTGTGTCTCTGAGGCAGCAGGGGTGGGAACAACTTGCTCTTGCCCCCTTAGACTGGCTCAGTCAACATCATAGGCAATAACTGAGCTGCCAGCTCAGGAGAGCTCCTCTCTGAGGGCTGACATCCACTTTCCATCTCACAGACTGGAGGGTGACTCACCGCATCTGCCATTCAGCTAGACCCGGGCTGTGTTTAAGTGGTGAAAAATGGCCAATTAAAAGTGGCCAATCTGGCAGTTTTGACTGTTCTAAGAAATCATTCAAATTTAATCATGGTTGGCTAGAACTACTATGTCATTTAGCAAGGGCCGAAATGTTTGTCTAGCATGAATAACTTTGAGTCTATTCATTAGCATGTGTTCAGACACCTTTGCTCCCGAGCATGGAATGTGCAGAAGTTGCCTCTGCACTTGCCCTAAAATCTCACCTCAAGTCCATCCCTCTCATGAAGCCATTCCTGATCACATGGAGACTCAGCGAGCATCTCAAACAGAGAACATTAAACAGGAAGATTAGAGCCCCAGCCTTCAGCCTGAAGAGAACACCACGTGGGAGCCAGTCAGTCTGTCCCACCATGGAAATCACCATCATCTCTACCATCATCAACACCTCCACTTGCACCTCCACCACCTCCCGAGTAGCTGGGATTGCAGGTGCCACGCCTGACTAAGTTCTGTATTTTAGTAGAGATGGGGTTTCACTGTGTTGGCCAGGCTGGTCTTGAACTCCTGACCTCAAGTGATCCTCTGCCTTGGCCTCCTAAAGTGCTGGGATTACAGGCGTGAGCCACTGTGCCCGGCCTCCTTGAGTTTCATTTATCATTTTAGTAGAGCTCTAGGTGGAGCTGCTCCCAGAATCGGCGTGAGCGTGCTGGTGCTTGAGGCAGGGAGCCCACCACGCTGTGCCGCTCTTGCAGGTGCTGTGCTTTTCCAGGCGCTTTTTGTTGTGATTCCTCTGGTGCCTCTGCTTTTCACTTTCCCTTTTCTTGGGGCTTTTTCTTTGTGTTCAGTTCTGTTTTGACACAGTCAGCTCCTGAAGTTCAGGGCCCTTCAGGTGAAACAGGACCTTGTTCAGGAAACTACCAATAAGCAAGCAGCAAGTCAAACAATGAAAGTACAAACAAGCCCAGGCCCCTCCCAGGATACACAGTCCTCCAGGATGTAGCTCCGGACCCTACAGGGTCCTTCTCCATGCCCAGCGTTCATGCCAAGGTGCTGCAGTCCCACAGCCTCGGAATCGCAGGGCCTTGGTCTTGGGACCTGCTTTCCTGGACTGTAAACTTGGTGACTCTCCATCCGACATATCCAGGTCATCCTGATTCAGGAGGAGCACTTGGTTCTGCAAACCCCCATCTGTACCAGAGAGCCGGTGGTAAGGCCATTCAAGAGCAGGTTTCTCAGCCTCACAAAGTAGTTTCACCGAAGAGAATCCCATGTCCTGCCCATGTGCATCCAAGTCACCTTACAGACCTGTCATAAAGAGGCTCTCCCTTCTGTGGGCTCACTCTGATCCTTTCTTTCCCCCCCGCTGTTCCTGTCACTGACTCCATAGTCAGATGGCTCAGGACCTCCAGGGCCCACCTGCCCACCGAGGCATCCTGCGGTGCTGCTCTGCCCAGCCTCCAGACACCCCACAAGGACAGACTTCTCTCACAACCTGCGTGAGGCCATTCTCTCATGGCTATAAAGAAATACCCAAGCTGGGGAATTTGTAAAAAAAAGGAGGCTTAATTTGCTGTACAGGAAGCATGGTGGCATATGCTTCTGGGGAGGCCTCAGGGAGCTTCTGATTGTGGCAGAAGGCAAAGGGAGAGCAGGCATTGTTAGATGGTGGGATGGGAGAGACAGAGGGGGAGGGAGGGAGAGGGGGTGAGGAAGAGAGGGACAGAGGGAGGGGGAGAAGGAGGAGGAGGGAAAGAGACAGGGACAGAGGGGGAAGGAGAGGGAGGAGGAGGGAGCAAAAGAGAGGAAGAGGAGGAGGGAGAGAGGGAGAGGGAGAAAGGGAGAGAGGGAGGGAGGGAGAGAGGGAGAGGGAAGGAAGGAGGGAGAGAGGGAAAGGAAAGAGAGGGAGAAGGGAAGAGAGAGAAGGAGAGGGGGAGGGAGGGAGAGAGGAAAGGAGGGAGAGGGAGAGAGTTAGGGGAGGTATTACATGCTTTTAAATTACCAGATCTGAGAACAGGGAGTCGGGGAGCTCACTCATCACCAAGGGGAGGGCTCTAGCCATTCATGAGGAATCCACGGCCATGATGCAGTCACCTCCCATCAGGCCCCACCTCCAACTCCAACACTGCGGATTACATTTTAACAGGATATTTGGGGTGGGGGTGGCTAATGTCCAAACTGTATCACCATCGATCCCACATTTGGGGTGTGCCCTGTGTGCGCACTGTGGATTGTGGGGTGCTGTAGTTCAGTGAGTACCATGGGCTCACAGCCTTTTTCCTGGATGGATTTTGCTGGGGGAGTTGCATTTATTTTGAGGCGAGCTGCTGTTTTGTTACTAGAGTACAGGGTACTGAAAAGAATGAGTCAGAAGCAGCCCCACTCCCCAGTCCTGCTGCCATCCTTTTCCTAACCAGTGGCTGTCTTTGTAGGATCCCGGCCTGACTTTGAGGAGGAAAGGGCTGCCTGGGAGCTGCCTTAACCTCTGTGCTATAGCGCTTTCTATGGGGAGATGGTCCCCTGGGGGTCTGGGTGTGTAGGACAAGATGCCCACCCACCACCCACTCTGGGCACAGGTGGCTGAAGGAGGGCTGCGACAAAGAGGAAGGGAGCTGCTTTCTAGAAGGATAGGAGGGTGAGGGGCCCCAGCAAGGAGATGATGGGGTCTGAGGACAGAGGTGTCTGTGAGGGGACTTAGGACAGTCAGCCCCAATATCCAACTCTGAATGCAGATGGCTGGGCTATGATGGGACGCCCTCGCTGCCACCCAAACCTCCATTTACCGTCCACAGGTGCCAGCCTTGTCCAGGCTAAGGGACGTGGAAGGCATGGCGGTGCAGGACCAGCAGGGAGGAGAAAACAGGGCGCCCAGCAGGTGCCCTTGGAATGAGAACTTCGAGGAAAGGTGCGCAGGAGGGCTCAGGCCTCTCAATTCTAGGCAGAAGCAGGTGGGAAGGTTGGGGGCCCAGGTGGGGTCACCGGGACAGGGACCCGGGAGAGGGCAGGGTGTGAGGAAGGTGGGCTGTGGAGACGCGCAGGTTCCCTCCTATCCAGAGGCCTCTCCTGGCCCCCTTTGTCTTAGGACCTCGTGGAAGTGGCACCTTCTCCTGAGGAGGACAAGCGATGTCCCCCAGGAGCCCTGGCGGGACGGCGGCGAGGTGAGGGGCCCTGCAGCAGGCCTCACCCCTGCCCTGCCCACACCCTGCCCGTCCCCAGCCCCACACCCAGGCCCTCCAGGAGCTTTCCTGGGACTAGGTCCGGGCGCCGCCCACGCTGCAGGGGGAGTTCGACTCTGCCCACCTCTGCGCAGCCCGATGAGAGGCGACAAGTGGCCCGTTACATCTAAATTAAATAAACGGGGAAAGCGTTAATTGGACGTCTCAGTGACGCCCACCACACTTCGAGTGCCCCCAGCCCTCGTGGTCGTGGACGCGCGTGGGGCCCCGCGGGTAGAGGCCGCCTGCGCAGGTCCTGAGCTGAGCAGGTTCCGGCCTTTCCTTCTGGGCCGAGGGAGCGACTTAGGCCCCCCGCGGGCCGGGGGAAACAGTTCGACCCCCAGCACGAGGCCGGGCAGGGGGCGGTGGCAGGTGGGGAGGGATCTGAGGGCCAGACGCGGGGAGTGCAGGTGGGAGGGGACGCACGGGGGCGGACGGGGCGTTCCGAGAGGGGACAGACGCGAGCCGGGTCCCGGGGCAGGCCAGGGCCGGGCGTGGGGCGCGGGGCTGCGGCGCCCGCGAGTGGGGAGGGGAGGAAGCCGGGAGGGCGGGGACGTGGCCGAGACGGGCGGGGGCGTGGCCTGAGGGCGACCGCGCGCCCGGGGCGGGGCCTGTCGGTGGGGGCGGGGCTTGGGCGGGACCGGGCGCTGTCCGGTGCTGAAGCTCGGCCGGGCGCCGCCGCAGGAGCGCGAGAGGCGCGGCGGGAGGAGCTGGCGGCGCGCGCCTCGCAGGGCCCGGGCTCAGCCGCCTCCCGCCGCCTCCCGCGCGACCATGGACTGACTGAGCGCCGCCGGCCAGGCCGCGGGGATGGGGCCTCCGCTTCCTCTGCTGCTGCTGCTGCTGCCGCTGCTGCCGCCGCACGCCCTGCCTGCCGCCCCCGCGTCCGTCCCCCGCGGCCGGCAGCTCCCCGGGCGCCTGGGTGAGTGAGGGGCGCGGGGGAGGGTCGCCTCAGTGAGGGAGTGGGGGCACGGGGGAGGGGCGCCTCTGAGGGAGTGGGGGCGCGGGGGAGGGGCGCCTCTGAGGGTGTGGGGGCGCGGGGGGAGGGGCGCCTCAGTGAGGAGTGGGGGCGCGGGGGAGGGGCGCCTCAGTGAGGGAGTGGGGGTGCGGGGGAGGGGCGCCTCAGTGAGGGAGTGGGGGCGCGGGGGAGGGGCGCATCAGTGAAGGAGTGGGGGCCTGGGGGAGGGGAGCCTCAATGAATGAGTCGGGGGTGTTGTGAGAGGGCGCCTCAGTGAGGGGGTTGGGGAAGGGGCGGCTCTGGGCGAGGGGGTAAGCAGGGAGAGCGCCTCAATAAATGAGTGGGGCGTGGGGGGAGGGGCGCCACAGAGTGAGGGGTTCTGGGGTAGGGGCGCCTCAATGAGGGGCCGCGGGACGGCATCCTAATGGGTGGGTTGGAGGCCTGGGGGGAGGGGCAACTCAATGAACGAGTGGGGGGTCAGGGAGAGGGGCGCCTTGGTGTGTGAGGGGGCGGGGGGGAAGGGCGCCTCAGCGAGTGAGTGGGGGCGCGCCTTGGCGAGCGCGTGTGGGGCTCCCGGGGTCTCGGGGTTCCAGCGCGCCACCCCCAGCTTTGGGTCGCAACCCCTCGGCCGCGGGTCGGGAGCTTTTCTGTCCTCACTCTGGACCTCGAAACTGAGGTCGCCGGCCCCTGCCTCAGTTTCCTCCCTAGCACCGCCTCCGGCCCCTCTCCCGGCTCCTGGGCCTCGCGCCCCGGCCCGCCACTCGGCGCTCCCCTAGTCCTGGAGCGCGCGGCCCTGGTTCGGCGTGGGTGCGCCCCCACTCGTGTTCGCGCCGTGTGTACCGCCAGGGGCCGGGCCTCGGGTGTCCCAATGCACCCGCTTCTACCTGCGTCTCCTACACGCCCCGCGGGCAGCGCCGCCGAAATCAGAGGACATTTGTCCTCCGTGGCAGTAGCGGGAGGAAAGGGAGGGCGGCAGCTTCATGGCAGCCAGGGAGTGGAAGCCGCTCCTTTCCCAGGCGGACGCCCCTGTTTTAAACCCATAAAACCTCCAGTCCCGGCACCTCCTTCCCTGCTAATCTTGTTTATTAAGAAGATTTACTATAAAGCCAATGTTTCCAGGCGACTTCAGGGACAGAATTACACATGACAGGTTAGTATAATCGGTGTCCACAGGGCACAGAAGCAAAGGCAGGCAGCCGGGGCAGAGGGGGTCCTATTCCGCTGCCCAGGGCCGCCTGCACCCACCTCAGCGCGGCTGGGCTCCGGCACCTTCCTCCTGGCTTCTAGGCCCTTCTGGTCTCCAGTAATGCTATATCGTCAAAATCCCAAATAAACAAAAACTGCAGAGAACCAGGTGTCTTGACACAGCCTCCTGGGTTGAGGCTCCCCTCCCTCAAGCCAGAGTCCCTGGAATTCCCTTGTTGTGCGGTCTCCTCACACTCCCTAACGTGCTTGTCTCTGTTAGAGGGAGCACAGGTGCTGGGAAAGGAGGTTCTTGCCCACCTGCCTTGGAGTCCTGGGTGGGGGCGTGTTTTGTGCTGGTCCTGTACCTCTGGGATGTTGCCCAGTCACTGTGACCCCAGGGCCCGGGTGAAGCCCTCACCCTTCCATGCTGGAGCAAGGGTGAGTCCTGCATGGGAGGCTTGGGGGCCTTGCTCACTCTTCGTCCTCCTGGTGCCTTGCCCCAGATCAGCAAAGAAGGCCAAGCTGTGCACTAGTTGCCTCTTGCTGGGGTTGTACGCCTTCCTCCATCTGGCTTGACCTGGCCAGTCACCTCGTGGGAGAGTCCTTTGCTCTGAGGCCAAATGCCACCCTTCACCTACACATGAAGCACACGTGGGCGTCAAGCATCCCAGGGGAAGGTAGGTTATTCCGGTGTGAGCTGGAGGCTGGTCCTTAACTGCTTTCCTTGCTATTGTAATGGCCAGTTAACAGCATTCTTTGAAAATCACAGAGAAAGTCGGAAAGATGGGGGGTAGCTGAGAGAGGGAGCAAAGGAAAACCCAAAGATGGAAGTGCATGAAGAGAGGAGAGCTGCTTAGCTGAATGATAATGCCTAATGTAGCAGTGTTATTTTGGCCACCAGCAAAGTTGACTCAGATAATTAAAACTGGTGCCATGTTTCCCTTGGCTCTGAGCACGGTGTCACTGACAACGGAAGGCTCTGTGATAAGCAGACTTACGGGCACACTCATTTTGTAGGAAAACATTAGGGATGCACGCATGGTTGGAATTGTTTTGAGGGCTCCAGGTGAAAGGCATCACCTATATTCTTATGTAATTGGAAACTGCCCCAGCGGTACATGCAGAATGAGATGTTTCTGTGGTCTTCCCATCGCAGGAGCCACATTGGTGCAGAATGTGGCCACGTGTGAGCTGCCGGTTTCCTCCACCGTGTACCGTCTTCACTCAGTATTGCTGCCATTTTGTCAGAACACAGTCCGTAGAGAATGCAAGCAGAAGCTTGCTTACCTGTGTGAGACAGGTCCTGCCAGTTTTCTTTCTCTTCTGTCTGGATCTTGTTTGGCAATGGTCACACCAACTACATTGTTCCAAATAATGATGCTCAATTAAGGATGCACCAGGCGACCTTAAATCTGGCCCAGCTGTGCCATTTGTAATCTATTTACCTGTTAACATTCCACTTCCGTTGAGGCCTCCAGATCACATGTGGTTCAAGGAGATCCAAGTTTTTGCTCCTCTGTTACATCAAAAAGCCTTGTAGGTTAGAACTAGGGGTTGATGTTAACAAGACCTAAAGACCAGTTCTTTTTATATAGGATGCCTTGACTGGAGCAAGGAGCCCTTCTCATATAGACAGTGAAGGAGTTCTTTATGAGACCCAGGGTCGCATGAGCTTATTTTATTCATGGCCTTGAGCCGCACTCGGTGATGCTGACTTATTTCCAGAACAGCTGTTGGCAGCACCCCGTGCTAGTGGAAGTCTCCCTGCTTCCTCTCCTCAAAGGACACTCTTTTCCCCTAATTTATTTAGTTTCCTGCCCTCCCATCACCCACTCTGCCTGTTCCTTTCTGGTCAGAAGGGCTCCCTTATGGCATTCATTAATTACCTGTGAGACCATATCGAAGCTGAACACGGGAACATGGCACCCTTTCTAGTGACACGATTCAGCTTTGCCTGTAGCAAAATAACATTGCTGTGTTAGGCAGGGCTGTCCGGACAGCCTGATGGTCTTTTCCACATGCTTCGGTCTTTGAGTTTTCCTCCCCACCTGCCCGTCTTTCTCTGTGATTTCAGGGTATCCTTTGTGCAGTCTCAGTGCTTTTTCCTTAAGTTTAACTTGAACATAAGCCCTTGTTAAGGGCTTTAAGCTGTTCTTCAGTTACATGGAAGCTGACTTGTGAACCTGCTCAGGTCGCCCCTATGTTTAGGGGGCAGTTTTATAAAGGCCCCCCTTCCTTTTGCTAAAGAAGCACAACTTTCATTTGTCAATGATAGCCTTTCATGCAGATTTTGCTTGGAGAATCCAGATTCACAACCAGTGGGCGCACCTGGCTGTGAAGACAGGAGTTGTTCATTTTGCTCCTTTGTTTTGGCCTTCCGATTTGCCTACACAGACTTTTCATTCACCAGGGAGCCCACACGGAGCTGAGAGGCAGAGCCATCAGAGCAGGACTCTGCTGGCTTTGTGAAGGAGATGGCGTGATTGTTTATTTTTAAATCAAAGGATCCTTACTGCCACAAGAGCACAAATCTATCTTTACTTCTTGGGGTCTGGAGCCTTTGATTCCAATTGGTTGGATGGTTATGAGCAACCTGCCCCTTCCCCCCAGAAGAGCCCTGTGCCTTGCACATCTGTGAGCTTCTCTGCCTGTTCCCTGCCTTTCCTGCTCGGTGTCCATGTGTTCTGTGGAGAAGGAATGGAGCGTGTAAATTCTAGGCTTCTGGAAGAAGGAGGTGCCAGACAATAGGCTCCCCCATGAAGCTAGATTCAGGAATTGGGATGTGGGGTGTCAGGCTCGGAAGGCATGGGCAGGGAATGGAAGAGTGATTTCTGCTCAGTGCTGAGCCTAGCTGTGCGTTTCAGCGTCTGGCAGCTCTTCTTCCAAGATGATTTGGTTTTGTACCTGGTGATCAAGGTCAGTGGTGCCTGCCAGGGAGGTGGGGCTGGGCAATCATTTTGTTATAGTCCTCTTTCTGCTTTACTCCGATATGGTGTTGGACCCCATCATGGCACACAGTAGGAATCTCTGTGTGCCATGAAATGTGTACACATGTTGAGTCTCCAGCTTCCTGTAGGCACAGGGTACCTGGGACCGAGATTGGGTGGTGGTGTGATGTGCAGCCCAAGGCCCCATCTTCTGATAGACTCTGTGATAACATTGATTCTTTTATGTGACAGTAATTTCTACATTCTAGGTTTGTTTTGTCCTAGTGTTCATGTGGTATTACCTAATTTTTGGATGCAGTTACTCATCTACTTTTCTTTAGATTTTTGAAAGTGAAGAATATGGGACTAGGAAGAGGAGTGAAGCCTCCAGGAGAGACAGGGGTCAGCTAAGCTGTCATCGGACATGGTCTCATTAAGAAAGTTTCACTCAGTGCACCTGGTTTTGTGGGTGAACCGTGACCACTGCCTCTTGGAGGGTTACCTTAGAATTTGTTTCCTTATGAAAAAGTGTTTGTAGCCAAATGTGGCCCAAACTAATAATAGCTCTCTGGCGTTGGGTGACAGATATCTAAGATATGCCTGGGTATGTGCAAATGTTACTAGTTTAAGGATTTTTTTTTTTTTTTTGACATGGAGTCTCACTCTGTCACCCAAGCTGGAGTAAAATGGTGCAGTCATGGTTCACAGCAGCCTCGAACTCTTAGGCTCAAGCAATCCACCCGTGTTAGCCTCCTGAGTAGCTGGGACTACAGGTACACACCTCTGCATCAGGCTAATTTAAACAAGTTTTGTCTTAGTTTGGGCTCACGAATAAATATGATAAGTAAAAAA